GGAAAATCAATTAACAAACGGAGACGTAACAATATTATGCCATCGTGAACCATACTCGTTGCATTGAAAAGTTTGACTAAACAAAGAACAGGTAAGGTGATTCTGAATGGAAAAGCCATAAAAGCAACCAGAACTCCTTGGACAAAGGCCTTTCTAACGATGTGAAATTTGTAGCGTTTGAGCGAGAAATTTGCGAGAAAGGTTCAGGACAGACAAACACAACCGTATGACTTATACACATTGCATATAATCACATACGTTCCGACGAAGGCCCTATCAAAGAAGTCGAAGGCCTATCGTCAAAAATAAATATTTCAAAGTGAAAAAAGTTCGAAATCCTCTAAAATGCTCTAATACCATTGTGAGTTTACTAAATAAAGTAGAAAGTTTCTCCTGAAGAAGATATAAAACAAGAACACTAAATGAATTGTAACATTTTTTTTGGAATTCATTGTTTGAAGTCTATTTCGATATATATACTACTGGATATGCCATATTTTAACTTGGATTTTTATGGCTATAAGTCTCTAGTATAAACAATGTCTAAAAAAAACCCTAAACATTTTCAAATTTGTTTGATACTTATTTCGATTCGGTTATTACATCAGTTACGTCAAATTATATTTCTATGGGAAATTACAGATCGAAAGATCATTTTTTTCAGTGCTGATTATTCTGTAGATGGCACTAGTTATTTTTTTGGCACATTATAACATTCAGTCAATTTCAGTGTGTAAGGTGTGTCATAGTTACTCATCGTTGAGTGATAGTAATATTATCCTATATAGTATATTATTCACTGAACGAGCAGTGCTTGTATCCGTATCTTGAGGTGTAGTATTTCATTTTGTGTAACTTTTAGCTGCGTCATATGTGCTTTTTTTTCCCTATAAATTAAAAAAAAAGTAGGCTAAAACTAACATTTTGCAATATCACTTTATTATTAATATATTTATAGGCTTATAAATAATAATAGTATTATTAACTTGTGGTACTTATTATGTAATTATATTATAAGGTAATTACATAACTTACATAGTAACTTGCTAAGTTAATACTCTTACAATTTACATATTACTTTATAATAACTAAATATTTTAAAATTAGATCTAAGACTAAGCTTAAGTTATGGTAAATATTAAAATAGCCTATAGTATAAGTACAACTACAGGTCCTAAATCAAGTTACATTACAATTTACAATCATATTCTTACTATTTCATAGAAAGAGCCACAGGGTATTACATGGCTCTTTCTTTGAAATTTTGTCATTGTAAGTTAAATTGTATATTAATATTGTCTAAATTATTGTAACTTTAGTCTAAATGAAACCCTAAGACAATAACCTTTTGTTAGAACATTCATTCACTTTTGACATAATATCTTTGTTTTCAGTTTCAGTATCTGGTTTCTTCCACTTCCAGTGCTCTGTAGTGTTGGGATGAATTATATCTTATAATATTACACCGAACTACAAATAATTTCTGTACATATTTGAAATATAGGGTAATCAGAAGCAGTGGATGCAGTTTTTGTTTAGTATTATATGTAATAATGCTTACATGACCAAGCACTACCATTACCACTCTTAGCATAAAAATCAAGACCAGTGTCTGTGACATTTAGATCTGCTTTACAAGTTGATGCTAAATTTAAAAGCTGAAGTATAAAAGTGATAGGACTTAGAGGTATGTTCCAACACTGCTGTTTAACAAGAACATAAAATCCTTTATTTCTCTTTCTCCTTAAGGAAACATATCATAAGAGTGTCACTTATTAGACAAAAACATGAAGACACTTATTTGACTAAAAATTCAGCAAGGTGAGAGACAAATAACTTTAAAATAATCTAATTTACTGGAAGGCATTGAAATATTTGTCATATTTAGGGATATGAAATTTTAGCAGACAAAAAAGTAAATAATTTTACTTGGGTCCTGCTAAATACTATCAAGCATCATCAGGAGTTGTCAAGAACTGTTATTAAGACACAAACAGCCCATTTCTCTAACAACCCTTATAAATACCTAAAAACTTATGTTTCTTGTACGCTGTGGCTCCCATAGCCTATGAATATCACCAAAGCTGGAAAGCCCCATGCAGTTATACCTAATAATAATAATACACAAATGTAATGTAGAGGCAGTAAGTAAAATCATTCAGAAAAGTTATATAATTACACTAATTTCTCATAGCTCATAAATGCAGTTAGGTCCTTTGATCCATTTTGTATCCATAAATATGTCAAAGATTTCAATGTTGTTCAGTAAATTAGATTGTTATAAAGCTACAACTTTCATGTCACTGACTTTTTACTAGAACAAGTGACTTGACACTTTTCATTTCTAATTAGTGAAACCATACCAAGAAATATTATTTGTAACCCTTTGTAATTGAATACTTTATCATATGAAATAAGTGTTTAGTTTTTACAAAGACTTTTTTCGTAAAAATGTAGGTTTAACCTAAATCTTGTACTTGTCATTGGATTTCCCTAACCACATGGTAGTGCAGTTTCTTTAAAAGAAATTGTGAAAGTACCTGTTATTTTTGTGCTTTGGCCTCATGGCTAGCATATGTGGCAAAAAATTGCTATTTAAATTAGATTGGTGTTTGAGTAGAGCTGGAATATGTACTCTATTAATCATTATAATTGATTACTTATAAGAGATTGATCAAAATTACAATTAAATTGATTAGTGCCACAAAAATAATCAATGAATGCCAGGAAAATGATCAACTAATTGAAATAAGTGCTTCCAATTATTACTGTTTTTGAATATTCCAGCTATCTAAGTAATTGAAATATTGCCATTATGATTTTTCATTATAATTTTTGATGAATTCAAGGTTGTTCAGCTTAATTGGTTAGTGTCATTACCTGCAAGAATAATGAACAAATCAAAATTAGTATTTACAATCTACTATTCTTGATTATTCAAAGAATACAGGTCTCATGAGAATAATCTATTAGTGGAATTTGCTAATCAGTTAATTGTTGGGCTTATTAATTGATTACATTCATCTAATCAGTTATTCTCATGAGACTTTATATTTGAGTTTACCAAAATAGAATAAATTAGTCTGTAAGGAGGTTAGTCTAACATTAGTTTTTTGATTAACCAAATGTTTTCTACTCCATGGTGGAACATCACTATTGAAAGTAACTAAACTTTCTGATCTGGGGCCTCATATAAATTTAAAAATGCAGGGCTGAAAATAATGAAATCACTGACTGATTTTGTGGTCATGACTAACCTATAAACCATTAACCCCTGTTTGAATCTAATAAATTAAACTTTAAATTAAAAATCATAAAAAATAAAGTTCTTGATAATATGTAAAGCTTCAAATTTTAATTATATATCTTTAAAGTTTATAAAACAGAAGCCTTTTAAAAATTTGGAAATTCAACAACTAAAAACCCCGATTACATGGTTTCTAAATAGTTTTTCCTGAGTGAGAACAGCTGAAGTTCTATTGCTGCTGTTTTGTGCGTAATTGTACTTCATGAAATTAAAGAGCAAATAATCACTTTAAACATGTTTTCTGATGAGTAATTAATGATTGGGAAGCAAACGTTAAGTTAGGGCACATAAAAGCCCACTGAAATGGAAAATATATTGGATGGGAGGATTTATCACATATCAGTTCTTTGCCCATGGACAAAAAGTTCCTACTGCTTTGAGATTGGCTAGTATAGTATTAAACTAAAATCTTTATACAACAATTGTAACAATATTCAATAGTTTAGAATAAAAAGTTCAAGGGCCAAACTTGAAGAAAAATACCTGTGATTGTTGCAAGTTTTTAACACAAAATAAAAATTCCTAGTCTAAAATTAGTTAAAATTTCATCTCAGCCATTTTAGTTTTGGCTTTACTCCAGTCTTTGTAGATTAGCAAGTTGAAACTACATGCATAGATTTCAAGACTTTTCGTTACTTATATTTTCTGGAATAGTTCAGGTATTTCTATTCAAGACTTTGTATTATCTAATTTATCTTTCATGGAGAAGCACAGGCAGCTTGAGCCAAATATGGAATGATCTAATTTGTAACATTTTCTTCCATAGCTGTCAATTAACAACAGAAATTATATATTGAGGATTCAGATAATTACACTTGTGTCCAAACTGATGTAAATTTGGCATGTTCTATATTTAGATCTACAACTAAGAATTTCATTGGTAAGTGAAAGATCTTAAGGAAAAATGTGTTTTTCTTTCAAGTTTTTGTATAATCACAATTAACTTGCAACATAGAGCCAAAACAAAAAGAAGACAAAATGAAGATAAAAGAGTCAACAGTCCATCACAGACTTATTCTGACTAATGCTGATGAAAAGCAGATTATATTTTTTGTTTCATTTTTTATGCACACCAATGGTAATTGAGCTAATAATGACCTTTTTTTCTGTGACAAAACGTATGCTTAATAACCTTTTAATAACGTGCATGGAGTCCATTTTTAGTAGAACAAAGTACAAATATATTATGAAATTCAAATCAAAATGTCATTTAATTCTCATAAGCAAATAACCTTTAAGATGCAGTGCATATATTTCTGATACAGATTCTGACAACCAGTCAAAAATGCTTAAAGTACTTTATTTTATAAATAGCATTTTTTCTCAGTATGTAGTTATCCTGATTCATAGCACATCATGTTTGAAAGGTAATAATTGTTACTTTAAAAACCTTTCATACACATGTTAATATCTATTGTCATTTTCTTTGATTTTATAAGGTATTAAGAGATTTGTATAAGAAGAAAATTTTGTTCAGATAGTCTCAAGTATTTCTGCAAAAGAAGGCATGATGATTTTGGCATATGAAATATTTCTTGTCACAAAGAAGACTGTTACATGTCCCTGAAACAGTTATGAATACATTTTATTTATTCCAGTTAACAAGTAAAATAACTTGAGCTTATAAAAATTGAATGTTATTTCTTTGTGGCCTATTGTTTTCTGACCATGCATATATGGATATGAATTTGAGTTTTTGTACAAAACAACATTGTATCATACATGATGTTTGGCACTTTAAACTTTAAAAATGCATCAAGTTCAATAAATAGTTAATTGTCTAAATAAAAGTGATATTTTGGCATTGAAATATCTAGCTCAAAAAGCCTTTGAAAGTGCTCAGAATGCAGGATTTTGCATCTAATTTGACATGGCTTAGGCTTATTCAAGTGTTTTTAAGAGATAATCTTATTGAAGTTTATAATATTATATAGAAAAACAACAGGATAAAGACCTCCGAGTTTTTTGTACATTATTTAGAAGAAAATAATACAGGCTAGGTTTCAGTTAAGATAGTTTTTTTCCTAATAGGGTAGTTGACATACAGAATGAGTTACTGTTGGCATTAGTTTAGGCCAGTACTTCACAGGAACTTAATAGGAAATCGATTACTTCCTGAAAACTAAAGGGTGGGTTTAATTTTTTACTCTTTCAAAGGATGAGTAATCAAGGATAGCCTTTAATGGCTAATTATCCCTTATTGTCTGTACATAATATTAACTTCCAATCAGAGAAAACTACCTACCTAGGTCACAAATAAGAGAAAAATCAACCTAGTTATGAGCATAGCTAATTAAATAAACTGTTTTTACTTATAAAGATTAAGATGTTTTATTTCATCATTTGTTAATGATATTTTAAGCTGTAAATCAAATAATATCTCATGAGGTTTGACCTGCTTAGATTTAGGTTAGTCCTAAATCTTTATACTTAGCTAACAATGCAAAAAAATCTTTATAATGAAAGTATAATAGTAACAAAAAACTAGATATATTAAACATTCTAACCAATACTATTATTGAAAGTAACATTGAACAAAATATACTTTACTTACAAAACACATAAATACAAGTTGTCAACTTCAGCTATTATTTTAAATTTAATGTTCATTGAACAAATTAACATAATGCACAATGTCTTACAATTCTCCAATGAAACCCCATTAAACAGCTCGAGGTATAGGAAAAAGATTTAATAGCTGGGAAGTATGGGCTGGTTTAGTGATTAGTTTCCTGTTTTTTGAAGAAGGCTGGAGTTAAACATAGCTGGTGGTTCATAATTTATAAGCATATACTCATTTGTATCAGCATTTTGTAACTGTACATGTAATTAATAGGCTAATATAATGTCTAACTTTGGGACTTTGGTTACTAGTTGTCTCGGGCCTTTATGACAGTCACATAAAAAAAAAAAAACCAAGGTGATAGGAAGCCTTTTCATAATTTCAATTTACTCCTTAGTCGCAAAAAAAAAGAAAAAACCAATAAGTAAACAAGTTAAATATAACATTTAACTTTTATATACCTATGCAATAAAATTGTGAAATAATTCAAACTAATAGTACATATTATGTAATCAAACCATTCCACAAGTTCTATGTGATATTAGTTCCTTGCAGACCCATTTCAGAAATTTCTTCAATGGAATGTATCTTCTGTTTATAAAGTAATTTGTACATTTTATTTTTAAATGTTTGAAATTTTAAAAACAAATCTGTGTTTTATATGTTTTTATTCTTTGGCAAACTGCTTTGCAGATCTTGTAACTAATAACTTTATGTTTTGAAAACAAATATTTACATGTATTTTATATTCATTTGATTGAAAACAAATGGGAGTGTTAAGTAAAATCTTTGTCAGGTTTGCTATTTCAAACTAATTTGAACACAAGTTTTTGTTGTTTTTTTACATGATGTATTGTGCTAATGTGCTTCTTGATTTCTTTTTTATGTCAAGGTTTTGATTAGGTGTTGGGTAAATCCACCTTTCTACTTTGGTTTTATGAATGCCTTTTCTAGTAATGTTTTTATCCTGGAGGAATTCATTCACCAAAATCATTTAATTGAAACCTTTTTGAGTCTCTCTTTGTCATAAAAACAATAATTTTGAAATTATATCTAATGCTTTTGAGCATTCGAGAAAGGACAAAATTATAACATACTGTTGGACAGTTAGCAGTATGAACTTGGTGCTTATCCTCTGCTTATACACATGTAACAAAATGTAATTGTACTGTTAGTGATTTAGTCAATAAATTGTAACATACAGACACAAGAAAAACATTTCCAAACTTAATGAATCTTTTTGTTTACTTGAGTAGCATTGTCAGAGTGATTGCTGGAACTAAGTCATGGTACTTATACAAAAGGTGTTAAAAGATTTGTAGTACAAATAAAGCTAAAACAAGTAAATGTATAATGTAAATTTATATGTTTATTATCATATCACTCTATTTAATTTTTGTTTATATTGTTTAAAAACAGACCAGAAAATGCATGATGTGATGTTTGATAGTGTTGATTTTAAATCTTTTCCAAGGGAATGTCCCCAGACCATATTGGGTAATTATTCCTTTGGCTTAAGCTCTGCCTCATACCATCAAGGTTACCCACCTACTCTTAAAGATAATGAAAACCCTGTATGTTACATACATCATTTTCATTGCAATTGTACCTTTAAGAATATGAGGAGTAATATGTATCGATAGTTAGATTTTTTTGTTTCTCAGTGTTGCCTCTTAAGAATAAAGAACACTGAACTAGGCTTATGTTCTTTTACACTAAATTAAACTTTCAACCTTTTTGAGCAAGAGAACTCTAAAATATTTTAATACTTTTAAATAACTACAAATGCTTTCTTTCTACTAAATCATTAGTTATAGCTTTTTAAATGAAAAGTAGCAGTTGTATCTATAGTAGTCAAAGTATAGTAAGTGTACTGAATTTTACTGATAAATTTCATTTTTGCTGCTACTATTTGCTACTCTTATTTTTAAAGAAATATTCTTATTTTCATAAAGAATTGAAACAAATGCTTAGCCATTAAATTTTTTTATGAAGTCAGTGTTTCATTAAGTTTAACGTTGCATTTTTATTACAGTTAGAAACTAAATTTCATGATGTCTGGGGACCACAAGGCAGTTATTAAGGGAGCTCCAAGTGAATATGTGAAGCTGAATGTGGGTGGATCCCTTCATTATACTACCATTGGAACACTAACCAAACATGACAGTATGCTTCGGGCAATGTTCAGTGGAAGAATGGAAGTCCTTACTGACTCAGAAGGTAAGCTCATGCTTCTAACTTTAGACACGGACCTTGAACAGCTTAAGAACAGTGAAGCATAAAATTAATATAATATGGTACCCGTGTAGTATATTAACATATGTAGTACCGTTCTCTCTTTGAATGATATTATTGTAAATATATAATTTATTCTGTATGTGTGCAGTTTTCACATAAAACCTGGTTGAGAAAGTCATTAAATGGATGTTGTTCTAACTGCCTTTTGATCCTTGTCATTCTATTGAGGTAATGCTTTTTCTGCCCATGGCAGGAATGGCTCTAATGCTGCATACTATACAATGGTAGTTCAAGTAGTATCTCAAATGCTTGAATGAAAATGACCGTAACATGGGTAGTGCGCGTCACTCTTGGTGAATCCAATGTTACCTGTGATGAAAGAAAAGTTGCATTTAAACAGTCTTGTAGATGAATTTGGCCTGATCAGCTGAAGGTATAATATTCAGTAGAAGTGATCATCTCACGTTTGATAACAGCAAGTACACACATTTTGTTTTTTGATTTGAATAAAGCTTGTACTTTTTTGCCCAGTCTTTCTTTCTCATACTCAGTTATTCAGAGATTCAATACTATTCTTAATATCTTGACACACTTCCTGTTAATTGGACCTATCTCAATGCTTTAAAGTTAATTTAGTTCAACCTGAGTACACCACATGATTTTTTAAAGTTGTATATGTGTGTTTTGTATGAGTAAAAGTATCATTACCATTTTAATATATTTATTTATTACTTTTTTTTACAAGACTAAAATATTTTAATTTGTACAACAACAAAAAAATTACTGAATTGAATATGAATTTATAAAATCTAATAAATTTGCAGTTTAACAAACATTACTAATGTAGTTATGTGAACAGCATTAATGTTTCTGTGAAGCTATACATGGCGATGTTTACTGTCTTCACTAAATTTTATAAGGTTTTAGTAAATGTTACAGATGTGTTATACACAAATTAGAATTTTTTAATAAAGTAATTTTACTAAAGATCTGTTTGTTAATTTACTAATTCAGTCTGACTAGTCTGAGTGAAAGTTGTTTTTTCATGTTAAGAATAAAATATCTTTTTTTTTACTAGAATGATTAGATTGTAATAGACAATTAAAGTTATTTACCTTAAGAGCTTTAGGCCTCTTGACTTTACACAACTGATTTCATTTGATTTTATTGTTCTTTGAACCATGCCTAACTATTGTTGCAACTTACAAGCAGTAAATTGCCAGATGGACTAGCAGAGTAAATAAAGGAATCGTATTACATCATGCAAGTCTAACTCCCCATGTGTTGTTGGAGGCATGATGATGAAAAAAATTTTTACATTTTAGTTATTTTTGTTAAATATATATGTATGTAAGTATCAATAAATAAAAAAAACATGAGAACTTACCTTAGCTCTAGGCTATTTGTACTTGAGTGCCTGATTTTGTAACCTTATTCTTTCTAACTGTGTTAGTTGTACAAAAAAATAATTCATGTAGCTTTCAAATATGCATCTTAAAACACAAACAGTAAAATGTAATGCACCAAAACTATTATAATTTATCTAGCTTTCTAACTAACCTATAAATAGAATAAAAAATTGAATTACTTAACAGAGCTCTGACTTCAGTCTAGGTTTGTCTTAGGAGGCACCTCCTATTGAAAATTTTTTAAAAGTTGAAGTGCATTTAAGGATTAAATTCAGCTTATTCAAGCAGTTAAGTTTTAGCAGTTTGATTGGGTACAAACTTATGATACACTAACATGAAACATTTCTCCTCACTAATCTTGATTAATGGCAGGAAAATATAATGATACTTCACAATCCCATTGATAAGCAAATGAACTGACATTTCCTCCTGATTAAATTAAAAAACTAAGAGAAATAGAAAGTTTAATTTGAAGTCTACATTTTGTCCTGATTTCATATGTTTATGAATTTAACAAGAAAATAAGTTGACTTAAAAACTAGTCTGGATTTAGCCTTTAAAATAATCTGTTACCAATAATATTCAGTTCACATTTCCATCCTTTTTCAATAGACTTCCTTTAAGTCATTTATTCAAGCCCTTGAGAATTGTGTAGAAAAGAAAGCAAAATATAAATGAATACTTTAAGTGAGTTATTCCCTGAGCCTTATCAGGTTTACAGTAATTTTATCTTTAAAAGTAAAATTTTGATAAGTAGATCCCAGATTTCATGACAGCGAAATCCTATTCAAATCCCTGGTGTAACTAAAGAATAATGGAGTACCATGTTGGACTCAGAGTGAGCTCTTCTAGTTACACATGATATTGGCTAACCTAACATCGAAAATTGTATAATATGATGCTTTCAATGATAGAGAACTTTGATAATGGGGAGGAGTAGTACTTTTCAAGAACAAACAATTATAAAATGAGAGAAGGTTTTGTGGATTTAAAATTTACAAATGCAAGTCTAATGATAGATTCATTAGCATAGTAATTTAATAGTATGTTATGGTTTGCATAATGATGATGTGTACTGTTATGGTAGTTTAAATATAAGCTTTTTTGAATGCTTACATGGATATAACAAATTATTAACTCTTGTTATTTTGGTGTAACAATCAATGAGCATGAGCTACTGAGTGAAATAACATGTTAAGGCACTTCCTTTGGTATCCTATATTAACAGTACTGTGATATTACATCACATTTTGACTTGTATTATTTGCATCTCTATTTACTGACCAAGTATATGCTTCTACTTAGAAGAGAGTACAATAGCATTTCAACTATATTTTTATTGTTTCACATAACTGTTTCTATAGCTTTCAGCTCAAATTTCTTCAGGCTGCCCAGTTTACTACATACAAAATCTTATTTAACACTATATCAATTGACTTATTAGGGACAATGCTTTGCTAGCTTGGGTATTATACACATTTAAGTTTCTTAACATTGCTCTTGTGTTTTTCTTCATGTAGTGTTATGAAACAAAAAATAAAGGTTATTTCAATTTTTAATTCAGGACATCTGAACTAATGGATAACCCTTGGTATTTACTCCTTCAGCATTTGGATGCATAGTGTTAGATTACTTGTATTGTAATGCTTATCTTGCTTCATGTTGAGAAAAATATTTTATACAGTGAATTAATGTTTTTATGCTTGAATTTTTAAACAGTAATAACTACCTTTCTCTACATAAGTGTTGCATCTTTCATAATGGTCTCGGTAAGATTGAAGATTTAGGATGTTAATTGTTCATTATGGTTACTTATTTTTTTTTTGGTTCAGTATTTAACTTTTTATATTCAGGGTCCACCATTGGCTCAGTGATAACACTGAGGGCTTATAACACTAAAAGCTAGGGATTTATTTTCCATGGTGGACACAGTGCAGGTAGCTCATTGTGTAGCTTTTAATATAAAACAAAAAAAAAGGAATTATTTCCAGCAACAATCACATCTTTTAAAGGAAGTAACTGGACTACTTTTTAACTAATTTATCAGGTCAATATAGCTATATAAGTATTTCTAAAAATAACATTTAAAAAATAATAATAACTTATGTTTCAAGGGATAAGTGTTTATAAAATTAAGTGTGAAATAGAACTGACTTGTATTTTCTGTCAGGATTTAGTAATGAATTAGTCTCATATAATTTGTTGTATCTCATATACAGTTGATTACATTCTTTAACCTACTTCCTTAATGTTTTGATAAGTAGAGTAAAAGATTAACTTTGTCTGTTAAGTAACATTTGTACTATAAATTATTAGATTTGATGAAAATGAAAAATTTCATATCCTACTTAAGAAATAAATATAAGTTGTGAAAGGTAAATGATTAAGTTCAGAAACTACAGCTTGGATCTCATTTTATGATTTATTTTTTATTACATTATATATGTTTGTTTGTTTTTTGTTCTAGGATGGATCCTATTAGATTTGATGAAAATGAAAAATTTCATATCCTACTTAAGAAATAAAAATAAGTTGTAAAAGGTAAATGATTAAGTTCAGAAACTACAGCTTGGATTTCATCTTATGATTTATTTTTTATTACATTATATATGTTTGTTTGTTTTTTGTTTTAGGATGGATCCTAATTGATCGCTGTGGAAAACACTTTGGAACCATTTTAAATTTCTTACGAGATGGCTCAGTTTCTCTACCGGAATCTCAGCGAGAACTAAAAGAACTTCTTGCTGAAGCCAAATATTATCTGATTACTGAACTAGTTGAGAGCTGTGAAGCTGCCCTACAGCGCTATGAGCGGTCCATAGAACCTATCTGTCGAGTTCCACTCACTACATCTGAGAGAGAAGAACAGCTTCTCATCAGCAGCAGTACCAAAGTATGTCAAATGTAATGAAATAATTCCGTTAGTTCACTGTGTTTTTAATTTTACATAATGAAAGAAAATATTTCATTGAACAAGGTTTAACAATTACATTCACTAGTTTTGGTATGTTTGATTCTATATCAGTTTAAAAGAAGTGCAAGTCAAATTTCCACCTTATACCTCCACGACTACGAGATGATTTGATAAAGCAGGTACTGCTACTAATTTCAATCAGGAGAGTATAAAATTATTCAATACTTGTTACACTGGTCATTATAATCATGCATAAAATTATGAAACTATGATGTAATAAATACCTATGTGAGATAAAAGTATCACTAAAGTTATATGTGAAACAAAAACTACTCTAACATTGGTATAACTGATAATCTTTTAGACTCTACATGACTTTTATAAGTGTGTATGTTATAAAGGTCACTCACTGTTTTGATTGATTTTAAAGTAAGCACCTAATCATCAGTGAACAGGTGAATTAACAAATTTCATAAACACATATAGGGGGTTCTGATATAATAATAAGTATAGACCAATAACACCTGTGCAAAGAAAGACTGTATAGGAACTTGAGGTTAAGCATCAATAAAAATCAGTTGCTTAGACTACTCTATATTTATTAACGACTGAATGAAGTATATTCCGAGCCTTTCCCACAAATAAAGAAAGAGGGAGAAAGCTAGTAATGATAAAGTAGAGACAAAAAACATTTAAAAACTAGGTTAAGTTGATAGATAATTTTAGAAGTATTTTTGAAAAGGAAATTGCCAAATCATGTTCACTCACTTGAAAATGCACTAAAACACACACTAGGTTATTATTTTGTTTCAAAATTTCATAGTATTCAGAGCAGTGTTTCTTACCCGGATTTGCCAGACGACCCCTGCATCCAGGCTTTGGATGAAAAAGTTTGTCATAGTTCATAACAAAGGTGATATATGCAACTCGAGGACTCAAGAAAATTTGTTGATTCAGCACAGACAGCTTGTGACACCCCTGGAAACCTGCTTGTGACCCCCAAGAGGGTCGCGACCCACTGTTTGAGAAACACTGGCTTAGAGTAAGAAACATGCTAAATTAAAAGAATAAACAGTGAAGTGGGTACTCGTACTTTTGCAATCTGCCTCAGTAGTTCCTAAAGTTTGGCTAGTATAATTGTTTGTTTTTCTCGTGTTTTTAGGTGTACATTATATTATAACCACTCACATAATTACTTATAAAACTATATTTGTTCTTTTGAATGATTAGGACTAAACTTTTTAGAATTATTTTCATGACATCATAGTCTCAGATGGAGGTGTTTATTTGTTAGACATAACAGGAAAAAATTGATTCATGTATATGGGATAAAATAAAAAGATATTTCCTTTGTAGAATAGCTTACAGAATGTTATAGTTTGTAATGCATGTACCTCTTAACATTTAGAAGTTTATTACTGCAAATTAGACATAAAAAGAGCCTAGTCTAGCTTGTTTTCTCCCATATCCAACTTTTTAGATATCTTTATATTTATGTACAATGATGCTGTTTTTTAAATACATTACAAGACATTCTTTTTATTTGCAAGATATACAATATTTTTTGGTTTAAAACCAAGAATAAGTTTAGTTTTACTACTGTAAGCAATAACTTCTTTTTAATTAATCTGTTTCAGATATGAAACAAGTAGTTTTTATAAATTCTTCTCTTATATCATTTTAGCCTGCAGTCAAATTGCTCATCAACCGCCATAACAACAAATATTCCTACACAAGGTGAGTGAAATTTGAGAAACTTGAGAGAAGTCATGAAGTTAATTACATTACCAAACAATATTGTGCTATGAATGCAACATATTCAATGACAGTTTTCATTGATTTATCCCAAAGTTATACAAGGATAACATGTTTTTTCATTGACATTTATGAGACAGTTTTTATGCATTTTTATGAGTTGTTTGTTAAAAAGCTTCACTGATAACCATTAACACAAATTTTTATCTTGCAGTACCTCTGATGATAACCTTTTGAAAAACCTTGAGTTGTTTGATAAATTGTCTCTGAGGTTCAGTCAGCGGGTTTTGTTCATCAAGAATGTTATTGGCAGTAACGAGATCTGTCAGTGGTCATTTTATGGGCATGGGCGAAGAGTAGCGGAAGTGTGTTGTACCTCTATAGTGTATGCTACAGACAAAAAGCACACAAAGGTTAGTATTGACTAATGTTAATAATAATGTAATACTTACTAAAACTTATAGGCTGCTTGCTCAGCTTTAGTTAGTAAGAATATAGAAATGCCAAGATAATAACTACCACATGGGCAAATCTAGAACATGAACTGAACAAATTATTAGATGTAATAAAAGCAATTATGGTTATTACTTTTAACCACTATATTATATAGCTTTGGTTCAGAGCTTAACTCGTTAAAGCACAGTGGTGGGTATAATGCTACCTCTGATCTTGCATTACTAAAACCATAGGCCTGCGATGGTTTTATTGTCTTGAAATTTTTACATGTTCTACAGTAATTCCTGTCATGATGCAATACATGAATGAAAGATCACAACACGTTTTGAGACTAAAAGACATAATTTCCCAAAACAAATCAAGATG